TGTAAACCAGTAGCATGTCTGACCTGTAACATTGGATTCAGAATAGATTCTGTCCGTTAGTACTTTTCATAATTTGGCTTAGTATGTATGGTGCCACCATGATGATTTTAGGATTACCAAATCCCCCCTTGAATATCAAATTGTTAGCATTGATTATTTACTGAGAGTAAAGTACAGTAAAACTTAGAGAGCTTTGCTTAGAGGAGTGATATTTGGAAATATAGTATTTATAATCATTCAGTTGTAAATTAATTAACTATGTAAAGTTTGAGGATTTACTCTAACTTCCTACATTAGGAGAGACTTGTTATGCTCTCATTCACTCACACATCTCTCTGACTCTCGCTCTCTGGCTCCTACTCTATCAGCTGACAGTGGGCAATTTCGCTACGGCCTCCCTCAGCCAATCATATATTTCCCGTCAAACTTTAAAGACCTGTTCTCTTCTGTGCAGTCAGCTGTCATTTCAGTACAAACTGATGTGACCCTCCTCCCCATTCATCATCACATCCGGTGCTCAAGGTTTCTTCCACTGAGGGCAGTCCCACTCAAACATGCCATCATCTAGATCTTCAGCCTGCCCCTACCGTCTTCAACAACTCTACCAGTGTCGATTCTCCAAAATTTTTACTTTACTTTGCACAATTTAATAAATGTATTTGTTCACTGTAAATTAAGTTTCTCCTGATTTCACAACCTGTGTCTCCCTGTATAAGTGTGTCAATTATCTCCCGGTGGCTTCAGTTCTCCTATTTATTATGTTTTTTGTGATGTATGTTATGTTATTTCAAACTAATTTGCAATCATAAGAAGTGTGGTCTTTGTTGGTGAAATGTTTCTTATATACAAAGAACAATTACTTGTCGTAAAACTCCAAAAATATAGTAGAGTAAAATATTTTCGGTGTGTTTTCTAGAAACTACAGGTCTGATGAGGAAAGTGGGAACAGGTGTGTCGGTGGGAGGGGATGTCATGTGACCAGGACTGGCAGGTCTGGGGAGTGAGCAGGGGCTGGAGAGAAGGACAGAGAGCCAGGACAGGCAAAACCACCAACCCACTAGAAAGTCTCTGACCTCCCTCGAACTTCTCAGACAGGGCTAGAGGAAAAGTTCGGGGTGTTGATTCACCCAATGGGGAACGTGAATGTCTGTCTCAAATGTCATGGCAATCCATCGAACAGATGTTGAAATATTTCAGTCTGGTAAAAAGTGGTGGGCAAGCCGGCCGACCAACGTTGCCGTCCACAGAGTCAAGCTGCTAGTGTGGCTAATAAAATGTTCAACAGTGTACTTATGCAAGCACAGCAAGACCAGCTGAAGAATGCATTCTTAAGGCTCGCTCTCTCTGCATCAAACACATTGTCTTCTGCACCCTCACCTGTCACTCTTCCTCTATTTGAGCTGGCCTGTCCCAGCTGAAGGTCACAATAAGGCGGGTTCCTTTGGAGAGGCCCTTAAGGTCCCGATGCGCCATGCTGCCTAAGTAAACATGGCACAGCAGTTCATAAAGATGCATATTGTGTGCCTCCATCTGTGTATGCGTTTGCATGAATGTGTGCATATTGAGGGGTCTTCCTGAGTTGGGTTTCCTGGCTGCGGGGATACATACTATTAGCAACGCTGGCTGAAATATTGATGCTGTGTTTTGTTCTCATTTTTAGCTGTACTTGGGAGGCCACGTGGATAGGTCAGCCTTTCTCACGTTCAATATGAATTCTTCCATTGAATATGACCAAGGGAGAGTGAAAAAGGGTCATTTTGTAATGTGAGAGAAAGAAAGAGGGAGAGGCGGTGGTTGGGGGTGGGGGTTGAGCAGGACTCAACAATAGGTTTTTCCTAACAGATGGAAGATTGGCTGCACGATTATAGTTCAGTGTCACAGAGGAACCTGATATCTGATTATATTCATCCCTGCTCAGGCACACAAAGGGATTAGATGTGATTATATGAATAATGAAATTGAGATTATTTTGTTGACACGCTTCATATTTGTTGTGCCACAGCACAGAACTGCTGAATACTGCCTATCAATTTGTCTCTTTGTGCAGCATTACTCACGTAAAACAGGCAGATCAAGCTCTTCCAACAAGCCAAACAAAGAGGTCGCTTCTGGCCAAGTCTGCCACCTAAAGCAACTCTCCTATGAAATGAGGCGAGTAATTAGCTGATAAATGTCCATGTGGCAGGACTCAATCATGAGTACAAATTTAAAAAGCTCATTATTGACAGTCCAGTGGTCAAACAGTGTGTTCAGCATTAACAGAGAAATGCAGCGTGATCTGGACGTGCACTTAGTGGGCAAAGTCAGCGATGAATTTTAATGATGTGCTTAGCTTAGGAGTGCAAACCAGCTAACAACATGACAACCCTAACAAGGTGCCATTTAAAGGTAGTGGTGTTTGTAAATGATCCCTCCGTTCTTAATAATTAACAAAAGCCTATTAATTATGAACAAATCTGTAGCCTAACACTCGTCAAGCGGAGGGATGGTTGCCATAGGAGCTTTGAGCCGTTGTGAATACCTTGTCACTTTGGTGTTGTCGGTAACTGGAGCCCCTGCAGTACGATAATAACATGGTGGAAAGTAAATAAGGCGATAGAGTAGGGACACAATGCCTTTGTTTTGGGTGCTGTCAGAAGGGTGCCACAAGCATAGGTGATTAATAATGCAGTCTGGCACGTGTCCGGGTGGCTTTGTTGCCTATTGACACCGCGTGGTTGAATAATGGTACAGAAATAACACCAGAAATTAAGCAAAATGTCTATACTTTTGTGTGCACTTAAAAACAGTCCATTGGAAAACCCATGTAATATTTTAAAGTGATAATGATTGTTTATGGGTTACCTATTTCCATTACACCTTGAGCAAACAGCAAGCCTCCAGGTTCCCACAGCTCAGTCAAAACAATAATTGGCCTTACACAGTTGAACCACCATTTTCGGATGCTAAATCAACACAGCTGGACATCCTAAAGTTTGTGTTTATGTCTGTGCACTACCTTTCCGACTTGAGTCTAAATATAGCTTGGTAGCATCCTGCTGTGATGCCGAAGGTGCAGTCATCTTTCCCCTCTGAAGGACACAACACTGTCTGAAGTTTGTGAGCAGGGGGAGTGGGGGAGGAAGCAGTGACTACTGTGTGACAAGCGCCCTGTTCCTTCCTCCCAGGCCTGAGAAACAGGAAGTGCTGCACATAAGGCATTATTGTGACGGAGAGGAAATGCAAGGTCCTCTAAAATAAGAGCCCCAATCTGGTTGTCAATGACAGGAGCTTGTCCTCCACAGAGACCCCCCCCCCCCCCCACATACATACACACACATAGCCCCCCTCCACAACTTCACTGTTGAGTGACGCAGATTAAACAAGCTCCCATTCTGTAATTCTGTGTAATGAATCCTACAAATAAATACACAGCAAGTTTTATCCATAAAAAAGATGTAGGCAGGTATTCAACTTATTTGAGTGCAGTGGCTCAAAGATAACACCAAGAGAATCAGCTTTAAGATCATGTGTTGCACCTTTTGTTCCCCGCTGAACCCGCCCACATACAGACTGAGCAACAGCAGCATTTCAAAGGGTTAAAGGAGGCATATGGGTCGGATCCATCGTGCTTGTGTTGAGCAGAGGCTGAGGAGGAGCCGGTTGCTAAGAGAGATGCAAGGCTTTGTGAAGGGCAGCCTCCCAGTTAATTAAAATCCTACTTTATCTGTTTCACACTTTCAATTAGGAAACTCTGGAAAGGGCCCAAGCCTCTGCATGTAGATAACCATAGCAATAAGATGTGATTAATATGAGGGGGCCCCCCCATTGGCGCTACAGCAATGCCCTGCTGTTGTGTCCATACCTCATTTTGATCCCAGGCACCAACCTCCGATGATCCTGGCAAGAGAAGGTTGTGCAGTGCCTCTCTGCAACGTCTGCACGGCCCCACACGCAGCAAGTTGAATGGATAAGATCTGCTTTTATAGAACATGGCAGGTGTTGGCCACCTGTGAACATGCACATCTGAACTGTGGCAATGACTGAGGCTGCAGAGAGTCAGTATCACCGCTCAGCCTGTGCCAAGTCTAATGGTTTTCTTTGGTCATTTGTAATCAAAAGAAGCATCAGCTAGCAATGTTTTTGCTCAATTAACAGTAGATCCATCAATGTCAGTCGCTGTTTTTCACAATCAATTAACTGCAACACAGAAGCCAAGCTGTACTGGAGATAAATCAAGCTAGGTTTAGCACATTATGGTTTAATGGGCATGTGGTGTTGTGTTACATTTTGAGTTAAAAAAACAATTATCACTCGGTAAAAACTAAATTGAGAAGGATTTAGAGGCAAAACGCAGATGAAATACAACTGAAATAAAAGGAGAGACAGAGACATGTTTTGTCACAAACAATACAAATATATTTGAGTGAACTGGCATGCAACGTCCAAACATTAATCACCGCCTGGTATTAAACAAACCTCTGCACAAAACAGAATATTTACTGCCATCTACTGGACAGTTTTGGTGCTAAACACCAAATGGCTGTGTAACACTTCCTTTAATATCTGAAAGACCTAAAAGACTGAAGGAGTGAAGATGAGATGGACTTAGGTGTTGATGTAAAATGGTCTCCTGTCGGCAGGTCATTAGCACTGGGGCCAGGCTGGGGCATCACTTCTTTTGCAGGTGCATGGCTGTGGCCAGAAGGAGCCGTCCCCATCCTCCCGGGAGGCATTACGTCCCCCATGCTCTCTCTGGGGCTCTGCTCTTGTGGTATTTGGAGAAGGAAGCCTCTTCCGAAGGCACGTAGGGCCGGGATAGAAGATTGCTCTTTCCCAAAGGGCCTTCCTCTACCGGTTGTGTCCATCGGTACCTCTGTGCGCCCCCTGCATGCACCTGGAGACAGGGGACTGTTAACAGACAGTTGTTTCCCGAGGTCTGATGCATTGGCTGGGACTGGAGGCTGATCTGCTGAGTTAGGGGAGGCAAGGACATCCACGGGCAACACATTGTTGGCTCTTGGAGGGCTCGTAGGTGACTTGGGAGGGAGAGGGTCCACTTGTGAGGGTGATTCCACAGTCGCGTGTTGATGGCTGTGCTCCTCTGCTGCAGGCAAAGTCTGGGAGGGAGACTGAGTCCGGAGGTGGAAGCGATCCAGCAGACCGTGTTCTGTGACAGGGTAGCGGTCGGCAGCCCACTCCTGCCGCTCACAACGCATTTTCTGCAGCTGCCTGAGCTCACTGGGCAACTCTAACACACTCTCCTGAGGATGCAAACAGGTAGATTGTGTACATATTTTAACTCATAATGAGGGCTGTAGATTTGATCCTCCATCACTAGCACTGGAATCACACCAGGAATGGATGATACATTTTACAAACTAAGACAGACTATATGTCCTGGAAATGTGGTCCTTTGTGAATTACCCACCATGCTGACGTGCTGTAATTCATCAGGTTCATAGAAGCTGCTGTTGAGGTACGAGTCCACCAGGGCCATGTAGTCCATCATAAGAGTATCCAGTAGCACCAGTCTGAGAGGCTGAAGGTGGATCCCTGACAGAGCCATCACCTTCAGCAGGGGTACAGGACAGGGACGTGTGTACCACAACTCCTTTTCTTCCTGTAAAGACACACACCAGTGAGTCCAGCGCATACAGATGCAACCGTACAGCAAATGACACCATCTCGGATGAGACTACGTCCTGTACCTTGGTGAGCATTGACTTCATCTGAAGGGATAGGAGTTGAGAGGAGGGCACCTTCAGATGGAGACTAACCACCTCCTGCAGAGTACTGACTCTGTCGGGCAGTACACCTCCTGTCTCAGAGTAGAAGCACATGACATCTGCTACCTAAGCACACGTAGAAAAAAAAGCAAAAGAAATAATTAAAGCTCAACTAAACACACATGACAGAAAGTTAGCCACCCGCAAATACTGCACACGTACCTGCGTATCAAAGACGTTGGTAAGCTTTATTCCATACTGAGCATTCAGACATCCAGCTATGGCTCTGCAGTCATGAATGACCTGAACAATATGTACAACACAGATGTTTTGGTAATCATCATGACAGCGAGCAGTATTTCTAGTCCGTCTACAATGCTAACCTTCAGTATGTGCTTATTCTCCAGGATCATGGCGAGACCGTTCTTAAAGGCCCCAGCTCCAAGTAACAGGATATCAAACAGGTAAACCTTGTTTTTAGTAGCAATCTAGATGAATGCAGACCAGTTCAGGTTATTTTCTTCTTTTGTCATTGTTGAAGGAAAAGAAAGGCGCGAAGGACAAGAATGAAGGACTCAATGAGGCAGAACTTCTCACCTGCATCCAACACAGTCTCCCATGCTTAAATACCTCGACTCCATCAGCTCCCACACCTATCACATGCTGCTTCTTGATGTGCATCACCTGATGAATGGGATCTCAAAACATTATCAAGAGTTTTTAAGACAGCAGGTCTCAGTTAAGACACGTCTCCATCATTATATACTGTCCACGCAGATTTGTATACTGACAAATATGTAATTCAAGTGATTTATTCAACAGAAAAGGAAAGTAAAAATCTACTTACAGCAGGCCAGAACTTCTCATGAAACTCATCGATGACTACAAAGTTGACAAAGTCTTCTTCATCTTCATCACCATCTGTGAAAAAGGAACCGCTCAATAATTTCCATTTGGAAGACATGAATTTGAAGATGGATGTATGGTGAATTTTAAGTACGAGTATTAATAAAATACACCAAATTTCTATCATACCCACCCAATGCGATTGTCTTCCTGTATGGCTGAAACCTTTCCACATTCAAATGCTCTTCAAGTCTGTGGTCGTGAATATTTCTGTGCAACACATTGCGCACATATATATATATTATGTCACAGTTCAGTGTCCAGGTCAGCTGTCACAATAATGACATCATTGCTTGTTGATCACTTACCTACTGCCAGTGTTTGCTTCAATGGTAAATTCCACTGTTAATAAAATCAGACAAAAATGCCAAGTGAGACGTCAAAACTTTTAATTAAAATATTTTAAAATTGTTTAAGATATCACCTGTCACGAGTGAACTCACCATTTACGATCTCATGACCGAAGAATATTTTAGAACCGGGAACTTTAGAGCCGTTACTGCCACTAACAACTGAAACAATACACAACTAGTAACGTAACAACTAGTAACAAGTAACGTTACTTCAGAAAGCCGACGAATAGTAACGTATCGATAATGTTGGAATGATAATAACACAAAATACAAGGTCAACATTTTTCTAACCGTCCGCCAAAATCAGCGTTTTGTTGCGATTGATACGTTGGACGACGCCAAGGTACGATGAAGTCTTCAGGGTCAGTTTGACGCGTTTCCCCCTGAGAATACTCAGGAACTGGACGTCGTACACGGCCATTTTGAAGTTCTGTTAGTTATGAGATGTTTTTAAGCAATAAAGAAACAGTACAGCTGCTAGCGTAAACACATCAGGCTGTCGAGGCTACTAGCTAGGCCAACAACATGTAATTTCACTTAACGTTAGCTAGCTACTCGTCAGAGGGCTAACGTTACATTCACGAGGCGCTTTTCAACGTAGTTTGTGTCGAGTTCTTCTTCTTCTTCAAGTTTTAAGGCGGGTTTCAACCGTTACGTATAAGGTCAATGTTGCGTTCAAGACCTCCTCGTCAACATCACCATTGACTTCCTCCTTCCTAGCTCACCAAAGACACAATATATATATATATATAAATATATATAAATATATATATATATATATATTTACTTTTCCAATAAATAGACAAACGCAAGAGAAGGTTTATATGCTGTTTAAAACATTTAGTTTGACAGAAGGTTGCAGCTCAGATCTGATCTAAGTCCGACTTTTCTAAATGATGTTCTGTATAGTCTGTGGTGGTGCAGGAGCAGGCAATACTCACAGGCTTGCAGGAAGTACGGTCCACACATTAACACTTTAACTTCTGAGTGATCTATTTCTTCTTATAACTACTACTATAAAATTCTCAATAACCACCAAAGGTCTGGATTCTCCAAATTGGTCAGTAACTCTAAAATATTAGCGTCCACCAGGGGGCGGTCACAGCCAAACTCTTGAACTACTCGTTAGTCTCAGGTCTTTCACTCTTGTGACTTCTGAGTTGGTGTCCTAGAAATCTGACAATTTTTCATCTGCAGCCATACATTTTCATCCACATTACAAAGTATGTGCATATGACCATTTTTCATTTTGTCTGTGTTGGACTGTACAGTATGTTATATCCTTAGAGAGGTACACTTTGGCCCAAAATGTTGAATATATTCTAATAAGATCTTGATAATC